CACACACACACAATAAATGTTTAAAAAAAATTTTAAGCTAGATGGTCTAGGGTATTTATATTACATTTATATTAGAGGAAAGATACTTGTATTCTAATCAAAGGCATCTTTTAGAAGGGCAGGAATTGGAAATTAGAATCTTCTTAATATTGTATTAGGAATTTTAAAATACATCAGTTTTTTAAATAGGCCACTAATTGACCCTTGGAGTCAAAAGGAAATAAAGTTTTCATGCTAATGATTAAAAGTCATTAAGTTAGATGATGATGTTAAAGGCTTGATTTCATAAAGATGAAAGTTTTGCCTTAAATCTATTTTAGAGAAACCATTTTAAAGAAAACTTCTGGAGAAAGTAATTTACACAGATTGCGAGCTCAAGTGAAGTTAATTACAGATTTTGGGAGAGCTTTGCTCCTACATTGGGCAACACAACCAGAAATGATAGTCATTTAATTTTGTTGTTTGACATCTGAAAAGTGGGCTTTTATGTGTGAATAAAAGTATTAAGTGATTTTGATTTACAGACACTGAAGAGACTAAGTAAAAATACAAAAATTTCCCAGTCATTATTAATAACCTTAGCACTCAAATATATTCTTAAAAGTTGTGCTAGTATTAAATGTGTTTGTTTTCCCTCTTGACAAACTTCTTGATAGTCTATGATAATTTTGAGAGATGAAGAATGACATTAAGTTGCTATTTGGGGCCTGCTCCTTAGGTCAGTTGTTTTAAGTGGCTGCTTCAACAAAGCAGTCCACCTCAGGTTGCTGTGGTTCGATCCCCACAACTCCAGCCAGTCAAACATGCCCTGAAGGCATTCTGAGCCAGCAAAACAAAACAAAAAACAAAAAAACCAACTTAAGTTGCTACTTACCAAAAAAGTTAAGTATCAGAGCTAAAAAGTTGTAGGCAGTTTTTATTCTTAGTTGTCTTGTGTAAGTGGGTTCCAGAATTTTTTTAAATGCTTTGATTACTGGGCATGGTGGTACATACCAGTAATTCTTGAGGCAGGATGAGTGTGTAGTCTAGGTCAGCCTTGCTACATAGTGAGAACTTGTCACAGAAAATATTACTATGCTGGAGATTAAAGCAAGGAAAGCCCTAACTAAACCCAGTGAAGAATGGTGGAAAGGGGACCTTTTTTTTTTTTTTTTTTTTTGCGGAACCAGGGATTGAACTCAGGCCCTTGGCGCTTGCCAGGGAAACTCTTATTCCACTGAGCCATCTCCCCGGCCCTGAAAGGGGACCTTTAAAAAAGTTGTACATACTCTTTCAGAAATACTGGTAACGAAGCCCACTCCCAGATGTACGTTCAGATTCCAGTTGCCATCAAATTTTGAAAGGGTCTTTTTGGTCACTCTTATTTAAGATACTGAAGTGTGGACAGTGGGAGTGTACTACTTAGTACACACTATACAAAGACATTTAAGCAAAACTTCTAAAATATCTAGTACAGCTCAAAAGCTGTTTTCATACACAAACCTGAACTGAACCACGAAGGTAGCAGTAAGCATGTGACTGGCATGAATATATGTATATTCATATGTACACACATTCGTATATACATATATATCTAGGGATTCTTGGGTTAGGTGCCTTATTTTCAAAACCTCCCAAAAGTTGTCAACAGTTATCTCCTGATAATGAGACATTGGCATAATTATAATAGGTAAACACGAATCTTAATGCCATATTAGGCATTATAATGTGGAATTAAGCAGTACATCATAGCAACTGAACACATGGAAACTTAGCTGAGATACTGCTTAGGCCGAAGTGCAGAGAAATTGCCTTAATGAATTTTTTTGCTTTGTCTTTTTTTTTTTAATTGGTGGAACCGGGAATTAAACTCAGGCCCTTGCGCTTGCCAGGGAAGCGCTTATTCCACTGAGTTATCTCCCCGGCACCCCCCCCCCCCTTCTTCACCTTCCACTAATCAGATCTTTTAAACTTTGTCCCCCTTTTTTTTTTTTTTTTTTTTTTTGCATCTTTGGAAGTCT